CAAGAATTATAATGTTCAAGAACCAGTCAGAGAACACTTCAATCTCTTTAGTCACTCAATTACAGACCTAAAAAGTGGCAATTCTTCAGTAAAAAATCTTCAGAAACAGACTCCAACAAGAGACTGCTGAATTGGAATTAATTTGCAAACTGGATACAATTAACTTAGGCTTGAATAAAGACTGGGAGTGGATGGGTCATTACGCAAAGTAAAACTATATTTCCCCATGTTTATTGCCTCCTTCCCCCCCCCCCCCCCCCCCCGTTCCTCAGACGTTCTTGTCAACTGCTGGAAATGGCCCACCTTGATTGTCACTACAAAAGGTTTCTCCCCCTTCTCCTGCTGGTAATAGCTCACCATACATACTGTAACGAGAGTGATCAGGTAAGGTGAGCTAACACACATTGTTTCATGTTCTCTGTGTGTATATATATCTCCTCACTGTATTTTTCCACTGTATGCATCCAATGAAGTGAGCTGTAGCTCACAAAAGCTTATGCTCAGATAAATTTGTTAGTCCTTTCCTTTTTATTTGGAGCTGATAATGTTAAGGGTTATTTGTTTTCAGGGAAGCCCTTGAAATTTAAGATGCCCTGTGTAATAAGTATCTGACGTACAGTGCTAACAAGAAATTGAGAGGGCCTGATTCGTGACTGCCTTGCACCTTGTGTTATCATTTACACCAGTTCAACGTGCTACCAAATCTGAATGCTACCTTTAAAATCCACTCTCCCTCCACTTTCCATTGGTATAAAGATGCAGGGAAATAGTGAGCTGGGGTCTGAAAACTCATTTCCTGGCTCCAGCCACGTGATCTGGGCCAGGGCTCTAAAGACTAAGTCATCTGTTGCATACAGCTACCACTAACGTTACATACAAGTTTTTGTGTTTTCTGAAGTTTTAAAGTGAGATATTGTAGAAAGAAACTATGGATTCACTGCTCTATCTAAAACTTCATGAAGTGAGAAGAACCGGTCACCCTAAGGAAACAATGAAATGTTGCAGGTGAGGATGGGGTTGTTTTGGTTTTTAAGGGTTTTTATTATTTAAAACTTTTGTCAATGGAGCATGCAGCATCTAGTAGGATAAATTTGTTCTGAATCAGCAAAGGAAAAAAAGAGAATATCCTGAGAGGCAGATACCGAGTCCTCCTGCTTACAGAGCATCCAGTCATGTATAAGGCCACAACATAATTCACAACAGTCTCTTGACCAGACAATAGTAGTTTGCACTTCAGTGCAACCTTTCCTACAGGGATTCCAAAATGTCTGATCGTTAGGTTTTGCATCATCTATGTGTTATCCCTTTTTAAAAAAAAATCAGATAGGAGAAGTGACTCTCCCAATATTACATTCAATAGCAGAGTCAGGAATATAACTCAAATCCTAACTATGTTTCTGACACTTCAATAAATTGCAAAAACCAGTACTGTGTCTGAATGCTAGTATTGTAACCATAATGTTGAGAGGTATCATCTTGCTGATATCAATGTGATAAGGGCAGAGGTCAGTTTCAAATAGTGGGTTGGAGGGTTGCTCTCCCGTGGGGAAGGAGAAGAAATAAATAGGCTTGGTGACATTGAAATATGGCTGTCAGGTAATTTCTGTCTTCAAAGGCATATGCTGTCTCTTCACAGGTGCTGATCTACATGCTGCATTTAGCAAAATGTCTGCAGATTCCCCTTAAACCACTTTGACACATCTTCCTTTTGTTAAACTAGGCACTAATCCATATAATTGTTAGTGGTGGTTTGAATGAATGCAAGTTGACGGGTGACTCTTTCATATAAATGTATTACAATTGTAGGCTCTTGTGTATTGCTGGGTGTGCTCTGTATTACAGTGTTAAGTTTGGAATGTGTTCTCATCCCTAGAGGGGGAAGAACATATAAATTATCCCAATCTCAGCCGATCACATATTCCAGACTCCTGAGCTATTTAAAATTCCTAATTTTCAAAAAGTGAGGGATTAAAACCTTTCAATTGACATGGAGTTTATACACTGTCCTTTTGTAGATGGCTATTAGCCTCAAATTAGCCCCTTCAGACCTATTATGTAGCCTATGAGTAAAAGTTTACTAAATTATGCATCTTTGTTTGACCCTTGCCCATAACATGGAGGTGGCTACATGGACCCTTTTAGGTCTTTTCCATCTCTAATTTTTAGGATTCCAGTGCCACTACTTACTGATGGTACTCCAATCCATCAATGTACATTATAAACAGATTGCACTTGATACAGTGTTGTATTTTATATAGTCTGGATAACTCTCCAGAAGACACATTCTAGCAAACCAAGAGGTTTTGGTAGGTGAGGTTGACAAGTAAAATATTATTTAATATGTGCCTGTTTTGACTTGCCATTGCCTTCGCCTTCGTGATAAAATGTAAAGTGATTCTCGGTGAGAAAGAAGGGAGACATGTAATGATAAAAAGGTTTGCTATGTTGTGTTTACGGTATGCAGGTATGTTCAAAGTGAGCATAATGGCAGTTCACCTCTATCATGGATTGGAAACTGAAATAGACACTGGTCTAAATTTTTACATAAGTTTTCAGACTTAAACTTTAATCCTGCATCAAAAATATCTCCCTCCCCCCCCCCCCCGAGCAGGAAGAGAGAGGTGGAGGGAATCGTACCTCAGAGCAGCATTGGTGGTACAATGCCTTCTCTGGCTACTGCTGGGGTGGTGCAACTCCTAGACCACCAGTTGCTCAGGGTTGTGCCTAAAGGTACAATCTACCCCCAAATGTTTTGGATTCTGCCTCCACTGGCTTTCTGGAGCTCATGCAACAGTTCCTCTCTCTGGCCCTCCTGCTTGGACTTTCATATACAGCTAGTGAGAGTGCTGCCAAGAGCCATGTTTCAAGTAGCTCACATGAGCCTCTGTTAGGAATACAGCATTGACTGACCTGAATTGTCCTTGCCTGTGGGTTGACATCATTTATGTCTTCCTGTTCACTGAGATGCTTCCCCCAGCTCTGCTGCTCTCCAAGGCAGTGGGGGAGCTTTCATGAAGAAAGTTAAAGAAGTAATTTTTTAAGCTCCTCATACTTCACTTCTTACCCTAGTGCAGACAACATTCAGACTTCATGAGCTTCTCCCTCCCCAGATGCACAACATCAAGTTCTGATTTATTATGGAGCCATAATTAGCCCCTGGAGAAGGCATCTACTTAAACCTCCATAATTAGTACTTAATTTCTCTAAAGCTAGTGAAAGGCCCTTTTAGGTTCCTAATTGGCTGCTACTTCCTGTTAGCATTCACTTTGAGCACGAATTACCAACTTGGGAAATAAGTTACTTTCACAGGAGTAATGCAGTGGCTGGGGATGTGAGCAGCTTATCAACCCAGAAGTGGGATGGTATGGTATCTTGGACTGCTGGTCAAATATGTTTCACCCATGTTGCAGCTGTGGAATGTAAACTAAATCTGTTGCCAGGTCTCACTTGAGTTGGAACAGTCTAGGCACAAACCCACACCAGCTGTGTTCAGGGTGCAGGGCACCCTCTGAGTACTGTAAGCTCCATGTGGCAGGCATTTGTATCATGCCAGTGTCATTTTTAATGATGTCCCTGGCTAGGTCCATAGGTGGGGCCTCCAGATGTAATATCATGAGCCTTTCCCATTTGAGGTGAAGGACCAGGCCCAGAGGTAGGAGCAGACCCATGAACCTCTAAATACTAATGGAGTGAGGCACTGAGGGGCCCATATTGATCCTCAGGCCTCCGTCTTGTCTTGCCAAGTTGTCCCCCCATAACATGGTTCTCAGCACAAAGTTATGGTCCTGTCTCCCATCTACTAGCCTCAGAGAAGACACATACAAGAGATGGTTGACAACTACCAGTTACTATCCATAGGAAATCTTGTGTATTTGGGTTTTTTAAAAAAAGTCCTGCAAAAAATATATTTTGTAAGAAACTGAGATATATCAACATTTTTACTGCAAAAAGATTGACCAAACTGGGGGAGGGGAAAAAGTTTTGATCAGCTCTAACGGTTATCATTGGACATGCAGCCATCCGAGGAGAGACAGCCTTTGGCTTTCCATTAAAAAAACCAACAAATAAGATGCAGTGATAACTGACAAGCTTAAAAATATTTTTTTTAATTCAAAATTGACACGAACATGTATAATGCTCACCCATTTCTGTCTCTGTTGGGTCACTGACCAGGTGAAAGTTAATGGTTCCTTATGGCACTTCTTTTTAAAATACTTGAAAATCCTGAGACCTAACTGACATTCCCTGTGACTGTAGAGAACACTACCTGATTAGCTACATAATCTCTATGCCCCACACCTTTAACACCCTACTTTATAAAGCACTTTGAGATGCCTGGAGCTTTAAAGGTACTAGAGGAAAAACAAACTTTCCCATATTCAGTATCCCTAGTGTTTCAGGGCAGAGTGTGGTATGGATTTCTGATGGATGCAAATGCACACACTGAAAACTATTTTGGCATATTGCACAAGAGTTTGAACATGTGAATGAATGTTAGAATTTCTCCAGCAAGGATCATTCTGAATAATTCTAAATTAAATATTCTCATTGAACAGCTTGGAGATTTTCATCAAGCTTCAATGAATCTTAAATGCACTGATTCATGTTACAAAGGTATTTTGCAAAAAACAGACCAACAACCTGTGCAAGCTTTGACTGTTCTTTAGAGACAAAATGTCTCTTGCATGTAAGGGCATGCTCCAGGAAGATGGGCCTCTCTGTGAAAACAGACTTGCACCAGAAGAGACTCTGTCTAGAGTTATTTAGAGACCTAATTAAGCTCTAGAGTAAATGTACCACTGAACAGCTTAATTAGCAATATGTTTATTAGGAGCTAATTACATAATTCCTTTTCATTTTTGAAAATTAATGATTGCCACTTAGCCCACAGAATCTAATTGACCAAGGTTAAGGAGAACAGGCAAAATCTGTTGCAGAGTCCTTTTGCTAATAGAGTTAATCATTTACTGTTACTTTCGTTGTACAAACAGGGACCTAGAAAGTGCTGCTTATCCCAACAGAAATTCACAGTTGCATCCCACATAGACACCGAGATGTCCCTGGGAAGGAAAAATGTCCTCCAATTCATACCATATGGAAGCAATGGACAAACCCATTCAGATCAAGTAACTTTCTCCTCGCTTTCATCATTTTGAGTCTGCACACTGAAGAATAAAGTCTTTGTGCCACAGCACCTTCTCACCTAGGAATCCAAAGGCCACATCCATGTTTAAATCTTCTGATCTCCCATAAGATAACACAATGCATTAATGCTGAGACACTATGGGTATGAACAGGTGTGATGCAAGAATGAAAGTAATGCCTAATTTTCCTATTAATTCTTCCAAAACATCATCTGTTTTTAATCCCTAAAATGGAACCTAAGCGTCTGGACTAAGTCTCAGGGTGGTTTGAATTATTTTTGTGTGTAACATCAAAAGCCACAGGAAGATTCGTTTTTAGGTGCTGTCCCTTCTAATTCTAACACCACTTCTCCTGCTAGCCCTTTGACTAACATCTATTAGCAGTTTAAACAAGATTTCCATGCCCATGATAGCTTGCAGAATCTCCTTTTATGTTTCTGCTGAAGAACATGGTGTCATTCAGTCTCCTCCCTGTTCTGTACTATGTTCTATGATTTCACGCCGTACATGAGGGGGAATCTTGAAATGTCCATACCTCTGATTCTCACCACGCCAGTCTATGCTGGTGCACAGAATTGTAATATATGAATAAGCAAGAGCACAAAGGCATGGAATCAAAAGTAGCTATGTAAAGACTAAGAGACCTTTGGATCTATTGCTATAACTCCCAAACACTACATCTCTCCACTATGCCTGGGCTTTTGCCAATATGCTGAAGACTTACATGTGGCGTTTGATGCTTTCATATTATAACTTAGACTGTCTGACTGTATTATGATGTTTCAAGAAGAGCAGACTTCTGCAATCCCGTGCTGGGCATCCCACAGCCCATGCATGTCTAGTAGAACGTATGGGATTAATCTCGGGCACGTCGACTCCCAGCTGAATTATATGCCAGTAGCAGGTTGGAAAATATAAAGAGAAATCTGTCTGGTTCCAGCTTCAGTCTCACTGCTTAAACCCATGAGAAGGAAGGAACAAGGCTGCAACAAGAAGTCTCGAATCATTTCCTAGACACCCAGGTATTGTAGAACAATTTTAAATATTGCCTTTTTCATTTGAACATCGTGCTTGACTGGTAACTGTTGCCCCGGCTTTGTTTTCAGTGTCTATTTCCCCTTAGTGGTCTATTTTAATTTAAAGGGCATTGGCCATTTTGAATGATATTTTTACATAGGGAATATTTTATTGGCTTATTTTTATAAAAAAAAAAAAATTAGTGCCTGATCATGCTTGGGTGGTAAGTACCCTCAGTTCTCACTGACTTTAACACAAGGTGAGGAAATTCAAGCACTTTTTGATTGGGCCTTTAAAAGCAGACCTAAGATAAGAAAATATATATATCCATATCCACTTTCTTGTGGGAGGGCAATAATTCCTTTCACCAAAATAAGCAAACCAGGTCTGCACTTCTTGGAAGTTCAAAAACAGATCCAGCAATTAAGAGATGTGTATTCATCTTTCCAATAATAGTAAAATAACTGCTCTGTCTCATTATTTCTTTACCAATAATCTGTAAAGTGCACTTTGATGGAAAGGAACCTGGGCTCTGAAGGTAAAGCAATGCCAAAGATTAAATATCAATAATCTGACCCAGTCATCTGGTGACAGCTCCCCCTACCCCCTTGTAATTATAAAATATTACTTTGTTAATGTAGTGGGAGTCTCCAGATAAGGTCCTAAATATATCTTCTTTATGGAGAAACAGGAAGTATTAGAAGTATTCATGGACATAAAGAACACCACCCCTGGCATATGGTTTTTATGAGATGCTCCGTACATTCATCTGTGTGCTGCAAGGTACCTGCTTCTAAATAGCCAATGACCCAAACACACAAGGGCTGTGTGTATGCAAACTTTTGAAGTATTTTTCAAATGCCATTTTTTCACAAATTCTATTTTTTACTTTTTTGCAATCTGTTGAATTAACTGAAAATCACTGTTACAAAATCTATTGCCCCTAGGGATCTGAACACCCTCAGCAGATGGTGTACTATCTCTGCTGTAGTTGCTCCATCTCCGGAATTAACCTTTTCTAAATTGACGTTGCTGGAGCTGTATTAAAATAGCGCATTTCATGCTGAAACTGGACTGGGAGCATTGGAACAATCTGGGGTTTTTTGTTTTTCTGATCTACAGTTTTTTATGTCTCAGTGAAACTGAACAGAAAACAGGCTTTCATTGCAATGATTTTAACCGAGAGTGCATTCTTCTCCATATCTGCTCTGGAACTTTTTACCTTACTCGTCAGGCACTATATCTTAATCCATAAATACTATCAATTTCAGACATTGTCTTACACTTTTTTAGATCTTGCAGAATCTAATTGATCCCCCACTTCTGAAAATGTTTTGTTATGGAGAGAAGGCTTACATGGATGCAAAATCTTTGGCAGCTGAACAAACCAACTTGCTATCGGCTTGAATGAAAACTCTCCTTTATGCAGAAATTCTTGTCAGCATGATTCAGCATGGTCTGGAGGAATGAGCGAAAGTGTCAGAGGCAGGGAAACCTTCCCACTCCATCCCAGACTCGCTTTATAGTTATGGACAAGTCATTTCAGCCCTCTGCTTCAGTTCCCCATATGTAAGATAAGGACAATAATATTTACCTGCCTCTTTTAGGGGTGTTATGTGAATTTAGCTTGTAAAGTGCTATAGAAATGCTACTTATTGATAATTACATCAGCTAATTCAGTGCATAAACACTGTACTGATTAGCACTCTGTAAAGACCTACATATAGATAGTGTTAATTTTTGCTGGTCACAATACCAACACCTATTCACTAAGAAAAAGCCTCAGACACCAACAATTTTCACATGGCTCTTGAACAGCCTATCAAAGGAGCACAAGTTTGTGACTAAGCTTTATATGTTTGCTTTTGCAGGATGGTCCTTAGTGCTCTTTCCCTCACAACTTCGACATGGCTAGTGATACCTGAGCCCATTATTGGATGAGGATCTTTAAGAAGGTCAAAATCTGTCCTAACTCTCTGTATGTAATGACACTTCTGAAGATCAGAATCAGGGTTTGAATCCAGAACCTTCAGTACCGCAATGCAAGCTTTTAACACCCAAGCTAAAGGACAGGTTTCAGTGATAGCTGTGTTAGTGTCTAAGGTGCAACAAGGACTCCTCGTTTTTTGTTGTTGTTTTTTTTTGCTGAGCTAAAGGAGTAACTTCACGAACTGGTAGCATTAGTAGGTTGTTTTCTTATATTGGACCAAATGTTAGAGGGTATTAAAGGCACACACTTTGCAAGTACATTATATGACTTGAAACTCCCCAGTTTCTAATGTACATACCATTTCTTATGCACAATGTCCTTGCTTTGCAGAATATACAGATCCAGTTACCCTCCTCCATTTCCAGGATCAGTTATGGGAGCCTGGTTCATCTTTGACATGGTTGGCTTCATTTTATTGGACATGGTGGGGATCCCAGGGAACCTAGTCATCCTCTATGCCTTCACCCACATGTTAATGTGCCACAGAAAAGTCACATCCTCTGAAATTATCCTGAGCAAGCTCGCGCTTTCCAACCTCCTGGTTATCCTGACTCAGGGGATCCCCATCACCCTCAAAACCTTTAGGCTTCAGAACATGTACAATGACCTGCTCTGCAAAATTACCCTCCATATTTACTGTGTGGGCAGAGCCATGACCATTTGCATCACCTCCCTGCTGGGCTGTTTCCAGTGTCTCCTCATTGTCCCATCTCCTTGCAAATGGTTGCGCTTGAGAGAGAATCTGCTGAAAAATCTCTCCTCAGTTATGATTTCCTTATGGTGCTTCAACCTCTTTGTGTGCAGCACCCACCTGACTTATTCCTCCTCCCAGGCTGTTGCAAACTCCTCCATCATCAAAAGCCACACAGTGGTGTACAACTTCTGCTGCGTGGTGTTCCCCAGCCGCCTTTTGTACTTAGGAAACGGGGCAGTGTCCATCATTCGGGACTTGTTCTTCCTGGGAATCATGACTCTTTCCAGCTGCTACCTTCTCTCCATGTTTTATCAGCACAGGAAGCAGGCAAAACATCTGCTGGGGCTGCACACAAAGCATGCAGAGATCCAGGCAGCCAAAGCCGTGGTGGCTCTGTTAATTATGTACCTTCTCTGTTTTGGGCTGGACACCCTCTTCTGGATCTATACCCTCTGTGCGGACCCAGTCTCACTGAGGCTCATTGATGCACAGAAGTTCCTTGATTCCTGCTACTCAGCCATCAGCCCACTGGTGATTATCCTGACCAACAAGAAGGTACAGACAGGTTTGAAATGTGCAACCAGGAGGAGACCGTTATCAGGTGCAGAAAGTATCTCAAAGTACATCCAATGAGAAACAAATGGGCCAGGTAGCAACTTTCAGGCTTAAGGCTTATTCAGCTTTGTTTTTAATATTGTGTGTGTGTGTGTGTGTGTGTGTGTGTGCGTGCACACAGCAATTTATACATCAAGTATCTCAGAACAACAAAACAAAAAACAAAAGTAAATTCTCCATGAGACAGAGTGAAAACACAGGGTAAAAAAAAAAATCTTGTATTTGACTGTACATCCAGGCAATAACAAGAGAGGAAGGATGGTCTTGTGATTAAAGCACAACTTGGGGAAACCTGGTTTGATTCCTACTTGAGCCATAGACTTCCAGTGTGAGTAGAGAAAGAAACTAGTTTCCTTCCATCTAAATAAGTACCAAAGTTTCACTAAATATACTGAATATATTCAGTAAAAACTGGGGTACATTTTCTGAAATAGTCAAATTGGAAAGGTTTCAGAGTAGCAGCCATATTAGTCTGTATCTGCAAAAAGAACAGGAGTACTGGTGGCCCCTTAGAGACTAACAAATTCATTTGAGCATAAGCTTTTGTGAACTACAGCATCCAATGAAGTGAGCTGTAGCTCATGAAAACTTATGCTCAAATAAATTTGTTAGCCTCTAAGGTGCCACAAATACTCCTTTTCAAATTGGAAAGTGATGCATGCCAATAACTTTGTTGTAAAGTAACTTCCAGACTTATATTGTTCCTTGATGCTTTGTAAATATGCATTTAATCTTCATATTACATGTTTAAACCCCAAAGAAGGTGTCACAAGCTTAATAGGCATATTTAAATGTAATGTATGTCACTTATGCATTTTTGATGTCTACCAAGCAAAAGATGAAAGCACCTCAGAGCCAAAACCAGTGGTAGACATATACAGCACTGTAATATTTAATGTCCACGACACAAATCTCACTTTCAGATAGTAAAAACTAGGTTTTATCCCATGGTTCTGTGGCCTTGGTTTCAGAAGTGCTCAGTATCTGCAGGTCTCCTTGAGTCCAGGTGGATATGTGGATTCTCAGCACAATGCAAAATCAGTCTTTGGCAGGCTGCACGTCAAAACTATGACCTATACCTATTTAAAAGGTGTGAAAATTCCCCAGCAACTTTTACAGCATGTTAACCAATAGGCTTGCAGAACACAAGTAAACTAGTTAGCTTAAAGATGGTTGGTTGAGACACTACTACTAATGATGCAACTCTGTCACCTGTCACTGAGCTGTAAGAGATTGGTCCAGTAGCTTGTTAACATAGTATCATGTTTCAAAGTTATTTCAAATTTGTGCAGGAAGTTTGTGCTCTTCTAAATGTTATAAAAACCATTCTGGAAAATGCCACTGTTTTCCATGTGCCTGAACCACCCCGACAGGGATCTTTTTCAAGCTGCTGTGGCTGTTAATAATGCTGTCTATCCTGGACACTGAAAATCATTGCACTTGTGGATCAAGCGAGACATCACAGAACATTTTTATTTGAATTTCTATCAGTGGGAAAGATTCTGTTTATTAAAATTTAATAAACAACCCCCTTGTCTGTTCTTCTGTTACCAACTTCCACTTACATTCAGTGCAAAAGATTTTGAGCTCATTTCGCCTTCCTGATGATACTGACACACACATCTACACAATTCTTCTCTGAGTAGTTGTAACTAATTGCCTTGCATCTCAGTGCCACTAGGATCATTACTGACCTCCCTTATTAATTTCATAGTGCAATATTTGAAGGCTGCTACTAGTGTCTCTCTATACTTGTCCTGATCATGCTTATTGCTCAAGTGAAGGTGGTAATTTAAACTTTGAAAAATGGAGTTTCTTGCCACCTTGTGGTGCAGTAACTCCTTGGCCACAACCCTGAAGGGATGGTGTAGAATAAACACCATTGCCCCTAACCTAAGGCATATCCTCTAAGATCATCTGCTTACATACTATTGTTCTACATCAAGAACAGAGCCCTAATTGCACGGCCGATATTTTAAAGGTGAAATTTAAAGTCCCCTAGGGAAAATCCATCATAAAATAGCTTGTGTATAAGTGCCACTTATATGAAAAAAAGTTTTTCACAGATTTTGGAATGCAAGATTTGTATAGAGAAGATTATTCCGGGTAGGTTTTATTTATATGGCTAGAAAATAATTTGTAGGAGTTGGATCAAACTTTAGAAAATAAACAGTGACATTTGAGAAGCTTTCTGCCTATGGCATATTCATAAATCTGTAGAAATGTCTGAAGCATGATGTCTTGATCCAGAATTTAAACTGTTCCTAAGCAGCCTCCCACTCTGGCTGCATTTCACTAGGTCTGGTATCTCACTTACTAATAAGTCAGGCTTTTTAAGCATAGGCAGCCAAGCAAGACCAACTGTTAAATCAAAGTATCAGAGGGGTAGCTGTGTTAGTCTGGATCTGTAAAAGCAGCAGAGTCCTGTGGCACCTTATAGACTAACAGACATATTGGAGCATGAGCTTTCGTGGGTGAATACCCACTTCGTCTGACTGTTAAATCAGAGAGACACAATACATCTTCTGCTCCTTGTTGTCTGCCAAGTGTATAGATATTCAAAGACCTGGAATTGATAAAGTTCATTAGAAAAGATTAATGGTTCACTTGGGAACAATTCCAGAAGGGAACTGAGCTGAACGTGTAGGTCAGGGAGCTATGAAAGATTAAAAAATATAATTTAATGACTTTTCTTAATATATCATTAAAAATCAGACACTAATAGATTGCATACCTGTTATGGGCCTCACTGAAGTTGCTTTGGGTTTTAGTAATCGGAGGAATAGTCTGTTGTGGTGAAAATTGGCTTCCTTTCCTCTGCATGCACCTCCTTGGAACAATCCTCAATTGAACTCATCAGAATCTGAGGCATGTAAGATGAACACATTTTGCAGTGTAGAAGGATCTTCATTGAAGGTTCATCCAACCCACTTTTTTTTTGTAGGGTTCTAGATGAATCCAGTCACGACCCCACCAAAGAACTGGAGAATAGCAGACTGAGGTGAGAGAGAGTGAGAAGTGTTATGGGCAAAGTAGCATTAACCACAGTGACGGCCTAGAGTATTGAACACAATGTCCTTGTGTTTCTTGTATTCGATGGGGTCCACATCCTGAAAGAAATCTCTCCTGAACCCCCTTTTCAAACTATACCCCAGCCTCACCAAGCTCAATTCCAGAAGCAAGCTCCCCGAAGACCAGGACCCACCTACTCAAAGAGGTGCCAGATCCTGACAGAACAGATACAGCAGTGGAGATATGTCTTCAGGTTTTGTGATGATCAATACCCTCCACAACACGCCTTTCAAGATCCAACATCTGGTGTACCTCATCCAGTGCACTAAATAGCCCAATAATAATATAGGTGAAACCAGACAATCACTGTGCTCTCTAATGAACTCACACAGGAAATCAATAAAAGACAAAAGCACCATCTCACCCATGGGCAAAAACTTTTCACATAACAGTCACTCTGTGGCTGACTTATCAGTCTTCATTCTCAAAGGAAACCTGCACAAGTTTCAAAAGATGAGTCTGGGAGCTTAAGTTCATGACTTTGTTAAACACTAAAAATAATGGTCTTAACAACAACATTGAATTTATGGCTTATTACAATAATCTGTAACCCATTAACCCTCCCTTTGCTGTCCTACGATTGCAGAGATGTAAACAGGCCACTTCACCTTGAATGGTCTCTTACGACATGACTTACATAACTATTTATGCTAAACAATCTGTTCCATCTTGTATTTAGCTGTGACACTCAGGACTTTTCCCAGACCTGAAGAAGAGCTCAGTGTAAGCTCAAAAGCTTGTCTCTCTGACCAACAGAAGTTGGTCCAATACAAGATATTACCTCACCCACCTTGTCTCTTTAAGACTAAATTGTGCTTTTAGGCACAGCCCTGAGCACTGAATGGAACATGAGCCATGCTGTTCCAGTGGCAGCCTGGAAGGCAGTGTGACTCCAAGTATCGGGGTAGCTGTGTTAGTCTGTATCCACAAAAACAACAAGGAGTCTGGTAGCACCTTAAAGACTAACAGATTTATTTGGGCATAAGCTTTCATGGGTGAAAAACCCACTTCTTCAGATGCATGGAGTAAGAATTACAGCTGCGGGCATAAATATACTGACACATGAAGAGGAGGGAGTTACCTTACAAGTGGAGAACCAGTGTTGACAGGGCCAATTCGATCAGGGTGGATGTGAGCCACTCCCAATAATTGATGAGGTGGTATCAATACCAAAAGAGGGAAAATTGCTTGTGTAGTGAGCCAGCTGCTCCCAGTCCCTATTCAAGCCCAAATTAATGGTATTAAATTTGCAAAATGAATTGTAGCTCTGCAGTTTCTCTTTGAATTCTGTTTCTGAAGTTTTTTTGTTGAAGTATGGCTACTTTTAAATCTGTTATAGAATGCCTAGGGAGATTGAAGTATTCTCCTAGTGGCTTTTGTATGTTACCATTCCTGATGTTTGATTTGTGTCCATTTATTCTTTTACATCGAGACTGTCCAGTTTGGCCAATGTACATGACCGAGGGGCATTGTTGGCACATGATGGCATCTATCACATTGGTAGATGTGCAGGTGAATGAGCCCCTGATGGTGTGACTCATGTGGTTGGGTCCTCTGATGGTGTCACTAGAGTAGATATGGGGACAAAGTAGGCAACGGGCTTTGTTGCAAGGATAAGTTCCTGGGTTAGTGGTTCTGTTGTGTGGTGTGTGGTTGCTGGTGAGTATTTGCTTCAGGTTGGGGTGCTGTCTGTAAGCAAGGACTGGCCTGCCTCCCAAAGTCTGTGAGAGTGAGGGATCATTTTCCAGGATAGGTTGTAGATCATTGATGATGCGCTGGAGAGGTTTTAGCTGGGGGCTGTATGTGATGGCCAGTGGTGTTCTGTTATTTTCCTTGTTGGGCCTGTCCTGTAGTAGGAGTACCCGTCTCGCTCTGTCAATCTGTTTCCTCACTTCCCCAGGTGAGTATTGTAGTTTTAAGAATTCTTGATAAAGATCTTGTAGGTGTTTGTCTCTGTCTGAGGGATTGGAGCAAATTTGGTTATATCTTAGGGCTTGGCTGTAGACAATGGATCGGGTGATGTGTCCTGGATGGAAGCTGGAGGCATGTAGGTAAGTATAGCAGTCAGTAAGTTTCCAATATAGGGTGGTGTTTGTGTAACTATCGCTTATTTGCACTGTAGTGTCCAAGAAGTGGATCTCTTGTGTGGACTGGTCCAGGCTGAGATTGATGGTGGGATGGAAATGGCACCAGGTGTGCCGTGGCCTCATCAGCGATACTGTTCCTGACAGCTTGTAGTCCATCCTTGTGTGGCATATTGGTGTAGAGGGTTTCTACATCCATGGTGGCCAGGATGGTGTTATCAGGAAGATCACCGATGCATTGTAGTTTCCTCGGTAAGTCGATGGTGTCTTGAAGATAGCTGGGAGTGCTGGTAGCATAGGGCCTGAGGAGAGAGTCCAAATAGCCAGATAATCCTGCTGTCAGGATGCC